TCTTCTTTCTGCAGTGCTGTATGTGCAACACAATAACCTAAACATTGTCTGTATCCCATCCCCCATGTTGTGTTGTACCTCCGTTTTGAATGCTGTGTTGCGTGTACAGGCTGTTGGGATGGCAGCAGGAAGGACATGGATGTCAATGGTGGTGGTACCGTATTGTATTTTACTGTACAACCTCATATAATACGTATGACTTGCCTTACAATTTTACAACTGGAAGGCTTAGACGCTATGGCACTTGAAGCATTTAACATGTTATTGATAACTTCCAGCACGAATACATGACTGACTGTAGATGCAATTGATGTGCCCTTATGGTGTACAGTACAGTAGACATTCTGAGTATGCAAACAACACTATGAACTAGCTTCACTGTTGAGCCTGCAGGGAGTAGAAAAAGATGAAAAGGAAGGAGTGTGGTTGAATCAATTGGTAAGGCAGCAGCATAGATGTAAAGTTGAAACAATAGCACAAAATATTAGTGCGGCTAAGAGATAGGCTGTTTCACATACATGCCGTGCCATGGCGTTTACACATGACATGCATTTTGACATGCAACATCCTTTCAATCTCTGAGAAAATTAATACATAGGCATATCCATGCTTGCATGCGTTAAAATGAATTTCTTCCCCCTTCAAAAGAAATCTTCATGGTTACTGCGTAACGAGCCCATGCAAGTAATATTTTAGGCGCCTCAAAATTCACTAGACATCTCCATGGTTACTGCTAGCCCATGCAGGTGAACGGGAGAGGGAACAAATGGGGATGTGAGCGCATGTGGCCAATCAGCATAGGACACTCACTCATGTGGCCAATCAGCATAGGACACTCACGCATGTAAATGCCCTGGTTCAGTCACAATTACCCATGGTTACCTGTGATAGGAGACTGAACCCCATGAAGTTTGTTGCGTTGTCACATGTGTAAGCAGAGTCACATCAGCGTGCAATCACACCCAACGATGGCCACATCTGTCTATACAGTCACACCCATCTATACAGTGATACCTGTCTATACAGTCACACCCATCTATATAGTAATACCTGTCTATACATTCACACCCATCCATACAGGAATACCCGTCCATACATTCACACCCATCCATACAGGAAAAGCCATCTATACATTCACACCCATCCATACAGGAAAATCCGTCTATACATTCACACCCATCCATACAGGAATAGTCGTCTATACAGTGACACCCGTCTACAGTCACACACCCGTCTAGAATACAGTACCTCGGCAGCAGCCTGGTGTGTGTGCGAGCGAGTGAGCATCCGCCAGGGAAGCCGTCAGATTCTCCAGTCACACCAATCTCTATAGACACACCTATCGATACAGTCACACCCACCCATGTACAACACAGTACCTCGGCAGCAGCCTGGTGTGTGTGTGAATGGGCATCCGCCAGGGAAGCCGTAAGATTCTCCAGTCGGGCCAAGCGAGCCTCCACTGCAGCATTGTACCCCTCCGCCTGCCATCGTGTGTGGCGGAAAGCGGGAAAAGGGGGGGTAAGGGAGAGGGGCGAATGACAATGACAAACCGTTGGAATCTCCAGCAGGGTCAAGCGAGCCTCCACTGCGGGTTATACCTCTCCGCCTGCCATTGGTGTGCCATCAGTGGGCGCGTCACACCTGAGGGGAGGGGAGAGAGACAGATGAGAATGGCAAGCCGTCAGATTTTCCAGTTGGGCCAAACGAGCCTCCACTGCAGCATTGTTGTACCCCTCCGCCTGGGATGCATGAGTGGCAACAGCGGGCACGTCACACACGGGGGGTGGAGGGGGAGGGGAGAGAGACAAACGACAACGACAAGCCGTTGAATTCTTTTGGTGGAGCCAGACGAGCCTCCACTGCGGCGTTGCACCCCTCTGAGGTGACTTTTGAGTCGACTCAAAAGCCACTGCAGCGTTGCACCCCTCTGAGGTGACTTTTGAGTCGACTCAAAAGCCACTGCAGCGTTGCACCCCTCTGAGGTGACTTTTGAGTCGACTCAAAAGCCACTGCAGCGTTGCACCCCTCTGAGGTGACTTTTGAGTCGACTCAAAAGCCACTGCAGCGTTGCACCCCTCCGCCTGCCATTGTGTGGCTTTAGGGGGCACGTGAGAGGGGGGAGGAGAGTGACGGACGACAATGACAATATGTCAGATTCTCCAGCCGGGCCAGACGAGCCTCCGCTGCAGCGTTGTACCCCTCTGCCTGCCATTGTGTGGCATCAGGGGAAAAGTGATGGGTGAGGTGAGGTGAGGTGAGGTGAGGTGAGGTGAGGTGAGGGGAGGGGAGGGGAGGGGAGACGCAGGTGACAATGGCAAGCCGTTGGGTTCTCTGGTCAGGCTAGAGGAGCCTCTAGTGCGGCAGCTTGCTGTATCCCTCCGCCTGCCGTTGTGTGGCATCAGTGGGCACGTGACGTGAGGGGAGGGGAGGGGAGACGCAGGTGACGATGGCAAGCCGTTGGATTCTCTGGTCAGGCTAGACGATTTTTGAATGCAGCAGCTTGTATCGTTCCACGCGAGATCCACACGTTGGATTCTCATCAGTGAGCTATGTCTGGATCTGCAGCAGCTTGTATCGTTCTTTCGAGCTCTCAGAAGGGACACGCAGCGGTAGGGAATCCTGTTGGTGCGCAGCGATTCTGCAGACAGGACGTCGTTCGTTCTGCGCCGTGACGTCACTGGAGGTACAGTGACGTCAGCGAAGGAACATCGACGCCAGCAAATGAGCAGTGACGTCACTGAAGCAACAGTGACGTCACGGAAGCAACAGTGACGTCACTGAAGCAACTGTGACGTCCGCGATGGACAGTGACTTCGCGGCGTAGCATGCTGCGATGCTCCATGTTCCGTTGGCGCATCAGTCTTTCCGTCAATGTTCCGATATAGGCTGAACCGGTACAAGCCTCACCTGCTCCGTGAGCACTTTATGACTCGCTAAGAGATCTCGTTGTAGAAGGTACATCGCTCCCGCCGACGCCACCGCGAATCCCGCCAAGAACCCGCCGAGCCGCGCGCGGAACAGAGCCATTAGTACCTCGAATCAACAAGTACACTGTGAGGGCGAGTAGAAATCGTATTTTCAGACTTTCGAGGTCCACACAGTATATAGGAAGAAGCGGCGAAAAGGTAGATCAGTCAGCGATACGGGTGATCAACAGAGTTGGATCAAGACGGGACCTCTTTGTCCGAAACGGCTGGGCGAAAAAACGGCAGCAGGGGTAACTATCGCGACAGACTCAATGACTGCGCTTCGGTTGCTCCGCGTTGCGGGTTTCCTGCCTCGCAGCGCGTTATGGCGCCGAGCTGAGCCTGGGGAGAGGCGATGCTACAGAGAGGCTAGTGGGAAGTAAGTGGGATTAGCGCAAGATACACAGAGCTATAAAATCAGTCGGAGGTGTCTGTGGCTGTAGATCGGGATTAGGTTACCATTCAATTCGCGCAGGCCAGAGTCCTTATGCGAATTGATGGAAAGATACAGGCTTCGCCAAGCCCCCGATGGATGGATGACCGAAGATTGCCATCACCTGATTTCGCAAGGTGATTTCCAAGTTTGGCTGAAACTGAAGTTTGTGTGATTTTTTGTGAGACCATATTTTTCTTGTAGCGGTACACTTTCTATAGTGCTATTTAGAAAATGTTGAGTCAGATCTAAGCGAATACCGAGGCTTCTTTTTGTTCCTCCTGCTACTCGCTGCTTCAGCGCTGCTGCTGCATTGGCTGCTCGTGCTGCTGTGTCAGCCTTATCCGTTTTGCAGCTGATGCGATACTGCGACTGCCTTTCAGGATCCAGTCTCGCCTGCGATCCATTCAAAAGCGACAGCGCTTCGTACTGAGAAATACGCTCTTTTTGAATCGTCATTAGAATCCACAGGCGTCTGAATCCCTCGGTGTCACTATGGCAGTCTGCACGTCGCAGCTGGGTCTGACCAGCCAGCATTCGATCTTGACGGCTGCCGGCAGTTTAGACGGTCATCAAAACAAGCTTCAAGCATTTTCATCCCCCCACAGCCCGTCATTACTCGTCAGAAAGCCACGTGTCGTTTGCTCGTTGGGTCCTGAGATCGAGAAGGTCGGGTTTGGGTTTAACGCAGTGACACGCGGCAGGAGGCCGGGCACGGCTTGCAGAGCGGATAAAAAGGTAAGCTGCTTGTGCTTTTCGGGGTAATGTTGGAGTTTATGAACTCAGGGAAGAAGTGACTTTTGAGTCGACTCAAAAGTCACCTCGTAATGTTGGAGTTCATTAACTCAGGGAAGGCGAGGAGGACTAATTTTCAACCTTCAAATCCACGACACGATCACGGAGAAACGCTAAGCAAACTTATGCACTTCGTCTGATGGATGAGCCATTTAGCTTTCTTGTCTCTATAGACCAATCGGGAGTTTCTAGTTCGACTCAATTTTCACTCGCTAAGCCTCCTCGTGCGTGTTCGTGTTTCCCCAGGAGCAGAGGGTAAGGCGCTGAAAATTTTCTTAGTCCAGAGAAAAAGGTTTGTGTGAACGAGTGGGACGCGGAGATTAAGAAGCATTTCAACCCGCACTACGCCCCATCTCCCTCTCTCCCCCTTTTCCCTCCCCTCGCCCACCCGCACACCTTGTCCCATCCTCAGGACGCGGCGAGAAAGGCGTTGGAAGATGCTCTGTCAGGCAAGAAGGACCTTTTGAACAAGTGGGACGCGGAGATCAAAAAGCGATGCCTGATCCCCCCTCTCCCAATTTCCCCTTTCTGCACCCCTTTCCCCCGCTTCCCCCAACCATCTTCCCCATCCGCAGGACGCGGCGAGAAAGGCATTAGAGGATGCTTTATCAGGAAAGAAGGACCTTTTGAACAAGTGGGACGCTGAGATCAAGAGGCGGGAGGAGGGCGGAGGGGGAGGGGAGGGCCGGGGGAGGGGCTGGGGGGGAGGCGGAGGAGGAGGGGGAGGGGACGGGGATGGTGTGAGCGGTGGGGGGGATGAGCGGTGGGAGGAGACGAAGCAGGTTCTGTTTGCGATCGGCGGCATGCTTGGCATTGTGAGTGCGTTTTGCATTGTCAGTTCCTTTTGGGACATGTTTTGAGAGGTCTCAAATTGTGTGAAGGGGGGGAGAGGGGGGGTTGGGGGGGGAGATGAACGGTGGGAGGAGACGAAGCAGGTTCTGTTTGCGATCGGTGACATGCTTGGAATGGAATTGTGAGTGACTTTTTTACATCTTATAAGGTTGTTATGGTTGTTCGCATTGTGAGTGCCTTTTGAGACATGTCTTAAATGGTGTGAGCGGCGAGGAGGGATAAGCGGTGGGAGGAGACGAAGCAGGTTCTGTTTGCGATTGGCGGCATTCTCGGCATTGTGAGTGTGCTTCTCATTGTCAGTGCCTTTTGAGACGTGTTCTGACTGAGAGGTCTCAAAATGGTTGAATGGGCGGGGTGGGAGATGAGCGGTGGGGGGGGACGAAGCAGGTTCTGCTCTTTATGATTGAGCTTGGCATTGTCAGCGCGTTTTGAGATGTGGTTTGAAATATGCCTAAGTACCTGTGTGGGGGGGGGGAGGGGAAGGAGAGGCGGGGAGATGAGCTGTGGGACGAGACGAAGCTGCAAACAGAGCCTGCTTCGCCACCAAGCACACTCACAATGCCAAGGTTCTGTTTGCAATCGGCGGCATCCTTGGCATTGTGAGTGTACCTGGGGGGAACCAAAAGTAGATTATGAGCCAAAAGTAGATTATGAGCCAAAAGTAGATTATGAGCCAAAAGTAGATTATGAGCCAAAAGTAGATTATGAGCCAAAAGTAGATTATGAGCCAAAAGTAGATTATGAGCCAAAAGTAGATTATGAGCCAAAAGTAGATTATGAGCCAAAAGTAGATTATGAGCCAAAAGTAGATTATGAGCCAAAAGTAGATTATGAGCCAAAAGTAGATTATGAGCCAAAAGTAGATTATGAGCCAAAAGTAGATTATGAGCCAAAAGTAGATTATGAGCCAAAAGTAGATTATGAGCCAAATCGGGGGGGGGTTGGACCTTACGAGACAAGCAGGTTCTGTTTGCAATCAGCGGCATCCTTGGCATTGTGAGTGTGGTTGGTGTTACGATACCTTCCTTTTGGGTCATCACAAAAGTAAACTCTGATCACTTTGAGTGTGTTTGGGGGGATTTGTAACGTTTCTGCTATGGGAATCTGCAACACTACCCTCCCATGCCCCCCCTCCTCTCTTTTGATTCTTGTTGTCATCTCATGGACCTTTTGTGCGTTTCAGTTCCATTTGTTTGTTACCAAATATATCAAGTTTTTTTCTTCTCATCAATTGTCCTTCTCTCTTCCTCTTTCCATCCGTCCCCTCCTCTCTCCTCCCCTCTAATCCCCTTCGCTCCCCTCCCCTCTTATTTCCTCCCTCTTCCCCCCCCAACACCCCCTACCCCCAACCTCCCTTTCCTGCCCCACTCAAAACCCAAACCCTGAATCTTCCACCCTACCCCAACAGTACCTGCTGTTCACGCAGGGCCTTCGAATTGTGGCCTTTCTAGTCAACTGCATTCTCTTCGTGCTCCGGGGCTTCAAGGGGCCGCGCTCGCAGCAGCAGGAGATTTACACCCCCCGTGAGGCCACTGCTGGTGCTGCTGGGGACGGTGGGGATGTGGGCGATGCGGGGAAGAGAGAGGAGAGTGTGCGGCAGAAGTGGGGAGGGGACGAATGAATGTCTTTTGAGTTGACTCAAAAGGCGCCACTGCTGGTGCTGCTGCGGACGAGTGAAAGGGGAGGGGGAGAGACATGAGACTGCGGCAGAAGTGGGGGTGCGATGCATTAGAGGAAGAGGAGTATTGGTGGGAGGAATGAGAGGGTGTGCATAGAAATTGGATCTTGCCAGAGTGAGAGGAGTGGGGGAAGGATATACGAGAAGGTTGAGTGAGACGGGAAGGTTGAGAGTTCCGTGAGGTGGAGATTGTGATGGATGAGTGGGGTGGGGAGGAGATTGGTGAACAGCAGCTGAGGTTTGGCTTTGGTCCTGACCTGATGTTGGTCCCCGACGAGACAATACAGTAGTACTTAAGCAACAGTCAAGTCAACTCTAGGAGCAATCTTGTAGAATTTTAGCCGAGTTCCCTACATAACGCACTTGCAGCAGCATAGCAGACACCTAGCAACAGGCTACAAGCACTCTTGCTAACTTTTCCATCTTTATCAATGGCAATTATTTTCATGCTGGATCTATCTAATGCATGCCTCAGAAACAAATGTTGTATGGTATTATCTTATGGGTGTGATGCAAGGTTATTTGCAAGTTGTGAACTAGACTAAATTGGATGTGAAGAGAAAGTGATGGTGGAAACGTTTTCGTTTTTAATGTTAGCACCTTGAAGTAAATGTAATTACCTAATTCTATTATAGTATGTGATTCTGTAAGTGCTGGTTATTCAGTCCTCGCACGTGGCTCTGGCAGAACCGTACAAACGCGGAGAGCTGGAAAACGAGGGACTAACATGTGCGCTGTAAGGAATTTTCTCGATATTCCTTAGCCCGCCCTGCAACATCACGTACAGCAGCAGCCGTTGTTCGCCTGTTACAGCCAACTTCGCGTGCACTGTTTTCCCAAACCTCACACTGCTGGACCGGCCGTGTCGGCCTACGCTTCGGGACTAGCCTGATCCTTGCTGCCAGCATAGCACTAGCTAGCTCGCACGCACCGCGTTACCGTTTGCATGTTTCGCGTATAAATGTTCGCTCATGCCTTTGCTCACATTTTGTACTCGTTTGACACCTTAGTGCAATTCTCGCTACTTCGATTCATTGCACCCGTAACACTTGGTACACCCAGTTATTCGTTTATCTCACCAAGCGCATTTCGGTCGGAGGTGCTTGTCCTATTCGCCTGGTGCTTTTAACGTCTGCGAGTCACATTTCCCTGCGTATTGCCGTCCCTTGCTCCCAAAATGTGGCTATAAATACGTTTTTGCAACTGTAGGCCAGCCTGACCGAATCATGACTAATAAATTTGGCCTCGTCTTTAGCGCGAATGCGTGTAACTGTAGTGTTCTGCCACCAATTCTCTTCACGGTTTAGCAATTCAATGCTGAACTGATCACGCGTGTGAATCGATTCTATGTGACATAAACGCATCGCTCCCAACCTTCTATGTGATCGTACCGAGTCGGTGGCACAATCGCGGGTGCATCAAACGAATATGTGGGTGTATTCAGAGCCTCTTTCTTTTCGGACCGCGCATCTCCACACCCCAGGAAATCAACTTTTGGTTTTTCACTCGAAGGGACTCACGCACCTTAGCCTCTAGGAGCCGCTGTCCTCGCGTTCTCGCATAAACGCGTGCAGCCACGACTGCGCCTAGACTAAGCCGAGCCGACGTCCCTCGTAATGGCTGAGCATATCGATGTCACGACCCTCACGCAGGAGCACTTGAACGAACTGCTGCGGCAAATCCGCGAAAGCTCTGAAGAAATTGCGGCGCTGACGGCAGAACGCACGTCCCTGCAAAATGACCTCACACGAGCACAATCCCAAGCACCTGGCACTCCGATTCAGCACGCACCACAGACATCGCAACACGGAAGCGTGGTGCAACCCGCGAGCGCCACAAGTGATGGCGTCGTCCGCCATGACGGAGACGACGACCACGGCACGACACACCCCGACGCAACGAATGCGGCCAGGAATCAGCCTCGAGTCACCATTTCGGTGCCAGTCGGCGAATCAACCTTACCGTCGCCGATGCCGCTGAAGCCGCAGCGCCCGCCATGCTTTGACCCAAGTCAGCGGGGTGGTCCTACCGTTCAGGCGTTGCTCTTCACGTTGAACGTTTTCTTTGACGCGAACTACGTCTCGGAGGATACGGCAAAGATTCGATACGCCGTGTCGTTGCTGCGAGGACCCGCCATGGACTGGTGGCGTGTCATCGTCACGAAGCCGGTGGACTACGCGACTCTACCGACACGGGAAGGACAAACCGGACCCTGGGCGCCGTGGTATTTCGTGGAGGTGCCCCAGTATCGCACGTGGGACGTGTGGTGCGCAGGTCTGCGCGCTCGTTTTGAGCCAATTGCGGCTTCGATCGCGGCGCGACAGAGGCTCCGCACTTGGCGCCAACTCGGTTCCGTCCAAGACTACACGAGCGGGTTTCTGGCGCTATGCGAGCAGGTGGGATACATGCATGAGAGCGAGCGCATCGACCGCTACATCGGCTGCCTGAAGCAGGATATCGCTCAGGAAATCTAGCTTCGCGGCGTCACCAATTTTCAGGAGATTCTCGCCATGGCGGAGAAACTCGATTTCTTCCGCCGACCGAGACCGGGGTCCTACGGAAGCAGCAATTGGGGACATCGGCCTCGTGGGACAAACGAGGGCGCTACGATACGTGCCATTGCCGCAAAAGCCGCTGCCGCACCGTTCAAAGGGTGCTGCTTTGCGTGCAATCAGCCGGGACACCGCAAGAGCGAATGCTCGGAAAACGCTAAGGGAAAGGGGGAAGCTGAGCAGCAGAAACAGACCAAGCAGCAGGGAAACGCTGGGAGTCAGTAGCAGACGGGCCCTCTACTGATAGGTCACGCCGCTCGTCCGACCCAACCGACCCTCACCGAGTGATTGTGCCAGTTCACGCAATCGACCACACCCGGCCGAATAAGGAGGGTACAACGGTAGACAGCCCTATACTGCTTAGAGGGAAAATCGGTACTGACTTAGTTAAAATCTTTGTAGACGGAGGGGCCAGCCACAGCCTGATCAACACTGCTACAGCACGAAAACTGCGTCTGTCACTGGACAGATGCTTACCTGAGATCGACGCAAGACTGGTCGACGTCACGCCACTGGCGATACGGGAACGTGTGGACCGAGTTCGGATTCGATGCGGGGGTAACTTCACGTTTAGCAAGGAAATGCTCGCAACGACCTTCGACGGAACTGATATTTTACTCGGGCGTGATTGGCTGCGACGACACAATCCACGAATCGACTGGACGACGGGTGACTGCATTGTGCGAGTGAACGGTAACAACATCGCTTTACCTCGCCGGGGCTCGCCTGAGTCTTCCTCGGTGCGTGTCAACGCGATAACGATGAAACGCGCTGTAGCGGCAAGAGCTGACGTGTACGCGGTCGACATTCGGGAAGCCGAGGCTGCAGACAAAGGAGGGGATCTACAGAAACTGCTAGCCGATGTACCGAGTGATCTGGCAGCATTGTTGAAGCAGTACAGTCACATCTTCCCGGACGACTTACCGACGGGGCTGCCACCTCAGCGACCGCACGACCACAGGATTGAGTTAGAACCGGGGGCACAGCCAACAGTACAGCGACAGTTCCGACTAACGCAACCCGAACTGGACGAACCGAGGAAGCAGCTGGATTACCTGCTTGAGAAGGAGTTCATTCGCCCTTGTTCGCCGTCCGTTCGAGCTCGTCACCGACGCTAGCGACATCGCTGTGGGAGCAGTACTGTTGCAGGACTTCGGGAACGGCCTTCAGCCAATCGCGTACGAGTCCCGCAAGCTTCACCCGCCTGAACGCAACTATCCGATACACGACCGCGAAATGCTGGCGATCGTGCACGCGTTCAAGGTGTGGCGATATTGCCTCACGGGAGCAGACGTGACAGTACGGACAGACCACCGATCCCCACAGTGTTAAGATAGGAGCACAAGTGGTAGTTTAGTTTAGGTAGGGCCTAGGCTTAGTAGCCTACGCCAAGGGGAAGTCGAGAAAGTTGTGCCAAGGAGAAAGTCGAGAATGGGAAAAGGTGATGTTCACTATAGCACTAGGGTACATATAGCAAACGGAGCATGCAAAGAAGGTGCACCACCAACAATTTATAATAACTACACTAAACTACAGCTACATGCAGTTATATATATATTCTAACACTCCCCCATAACTGCCTGCAGCAAGAGTTTGTGCAGAACACAACCTGCAGGGGTACACCAGCAACAGCAACAGCAAGCACGATAACAGAGCAGGTACAGCAGCAAAGGGACAGGTGATAGCAAGACATTCCTGCCACCCCCTTATTCTCTTCCCCCCCCAACCACAGGAGGGGCAGCAGGGAGAGTGAGGAGGCGGGCTGGCTCTGGCTGGTCACCCCCTCCATCTCCTCACCCTCCCCCTCCCCCTCCCCCCCACACTGCTGCAGGAGCAGCAGAGGGGGGAAGAGAGGAGAGGTGGAGGGACGGCTGCTGGTTGGTCTCACACCCGCCACCCCAGTGCCACTCCCCCGGCTCCCCCACACCCTCACACCCTCCCCCCAGCGGCAGCTGCAGCAGTGGGAACGAAAGGAGGAGGAGGGGAAGGGAAGCACACCACCCATCACCCCCACACCCGCCACCCCCATACCCTCCCCCCCACGGCTGCAGGGAGACGAAGGAGGAGGGGGTGGGCGGGGAGAAAGCCGTAGAGCGGCTACAGAGGGTCGGCGCGGGTAGGTCAGGGGCGGCTGCAGCGAGTGCAGGCGCGGGGTGAGACAGAGGCGGCTGCACTGAGTGCAAGAGCGGGGGCGGCTGCTCCAAGGGCAGGCGCTGGGTGGTGCAGGGGCGGCTACAGCTAGTGCAGGCGCGGGTGAGGCAGGGGCACCGCCGAGTGCGCCAGGGGCGGGTCCGCGGTGGCTCAGGACACCGTCGCGGGCGCCAGGGGCGGTTCCACGGCGGCTCAGGGCACCGTCGCGCACCACGGGGCACGCGACGGGCAGTTTAGGGC